GAGGTAGAAATCCAATTTTCCCATGCAACCTCTATTGACACTTGAGGCAAAGCTTCCTTCTTCATTGGTCAATGGGGACAGAAGTTTCAGCTTGCCACTGGGTCTCCACTGATACATTGGTCGAGATAGCCTCATTACCACTGGGTGGTAATGGTGAAAGTCCTGACTATATACTATCAATAGGTTTTTTCTGACAGTGGAGGGGTGCTTCATTACTGCTGGGTGGGAGTGGAAGTCCAAGCTCCTCATGTGGTCTCCTCTGACATTAGGGGAGAGGGGCTTATTACTAGTTGATAGGGATGAATGCTGTGGCATCTTACTTGCCTTCTCTAATACCACTGCAGTAGGAGTGTTGCTGTGCCTTGCTATATCCTCACGAGGGTAAAAGTCTATGCTCACCACTTGGCCTTTTTTGGCCTTGTTGTGGTGGGGCCACAGTTTTCTCTATGGTGTTCAGCTATAGTAGAACAGTTACTGTCCAAAAGCATTTTGTCTTGATTGACTTCATCTTTCCTGATCCTTAAGCTCAAGAGAGTAGGCTTCTGTTGGGGTTTGTGTGTGTGTGTGTGTGTGTGTGTGTGTGTGTGTGTGTGTGTGTTTTTGTCTACACCTGTTGGCACTTTCAGATTACCTGCTCCTTCAGCTCCAAGTCTGGGATATATAACATAAAAATAAAACCCAGGGAACTTATCACCATGTTGTAACTTGGACCATATGTCCCTAGCTAGTCTGCTTTCTTCTCTCTATTTTTCAGTCTCTTGACATTTATTTATATAATATCCAAGGTTTTGCTTGATTTAGTTATGCTTAATGGAGGGAATATGGAAAAGTACATCTACTTCATCTATCTGAAAGCAATTTTACTGGCTCAATTTTTAAAACTTAAAACTGCATTTTTTAAAAGGCACTGCAGAATACATGATGTGAATAGAAAGTAATAGGACTGGATTGTTGTCGTTGTTTTACAAAATTACTGAAACTGACTCATTTAAATGAGGGCTGATTCCTCAGAATCCGTTACTAAATTATCCTTGGAGAGGATTTTGTGTCGTCAATACTGCTCCCGAATTTTTTTAGAACTCTTTTGGACTTAATTTTAAAGAATGGACTGTGTTCTTTTGAACATTCTCAGTGGCATAAATTGTAATGCTTTGAGGTGGTGTTTGGTATTTGGAAGCAAGCCCAAGTGGTTTAAGAGCCAAGATGGGTAGTAAAATAGATGACCAAATTGGGTAATACAATCCACTTCTCCATCTCACACTCTTTTTTAAAAGAACAGTGTGAACCAAATTATATTTATAGTGATAAAGCCATTTCTTTTATATCATACAAAACCTCCCAAACACTTCCAACTTCCAAATAATAAGCTTGATTAGCTGTGGGATGAATTTTGCATGAGCAGTGCCATTTGGTATCAAATCAACATTTTTGTGGTTTTCACATAAATGCTTCCTTGGGTCCCATGGATATTGGAGTTTTTTCCTGTAAGCTTTGACAATTTGCTTTTTGGGTCAACTTCAAAATACCATATTCCATCACTATTCTCCTTGAATACATGTTATTTTGTCCAACTTCCCTTTGAAAGTTTCAAACAAATGTCAAATCTTCTCTATTTCTTTTTGTCATTCAAAATGTGTAGCACAGGCTTTACAAAAACCTCCATGTCCAAATTCCCCTTCAGTATGAGTCAGTGTTCTCACAGCTAACCCTCCGCTTGAACAAATCCCATCTCTGACATTTTCCACATTTTCATCAGTCCTTTGTACTTCATCATGAGCATCCTTATTACTTTTCTCATGTCTTTGTGCCAGTCAAAAATAGATTCTTCTGTACAGTTCTGAACCATAATTGTCCCTCTAGATGTCTTGCCATTTGTGTTTGTTTAACTTTCTATAGCTGTCATTCCTCATCCCCATTCATCACAGCCTATAGCCCAAAAGACTGAAAGCACTGCTGCTGCGGCGGCGGCTGCTGCTGTTGCTAACAGAATCACTTTACAGCATGTTCCTTCCATGTGCACTTTTTGTTTTGCTGAGCCATCTAAGAACATGAGCTTCATTACTTCATAGTAATGAAAAGATTACTAAATACAAAATCTTCACCCTATTTGCTTAACTCTAAAGCTCAAAGTCACACGCACAGCATCTAAAATAGATGATAGACCTAATTCAGTAATTAGGAATGGCCCTTTCACAAATTCAAGAAATCTTAAAGAAATTAAATGTATCCTCCCTCAACATCCTGATCTTTTTATTCTTTTTCATGGTTTATTTTCTGTTCATGGTTCAACTATTAGGAGGAGGGTGCCACTTTGGAGGGGAAAGGACCACAGTATAATGTAGTGTTTAAGAGCAAGACCTCAGACAGCCTCGGTTCAAATGTTGTTCCTACAAGTTTACAAGTTGTACAAATTACTTGGGACAGTTGTTTCACCTCGCCCACTCTTAGTTGTGTCCTCAGTAAGAATGGATAATATAATCTAATAATAATTACCTCTTAATGCCATTGTGAAGATCAAAACAGGTAATATGGTGTCAGCATGTTGTTTGGCACCGTTTGGATGGTAACTATTATTATTAAATGCCAGTTACTTTCTCAGTCATTAAAAAGTTTAGGTAGGATAGGCTTGCCTTCAAAGAGTTCAAAATTAGCATAATCCTGAGCTAAATTGTCCCATCAGAAGAAGAAATAAAACAGAAATATAAGTCTAAAGGCCATTACAATTCTATGATACATAGAATTAAGTTTTCACACTTAGATAGACTATATATTACTGGGATATTCTAATCAACAAAATAATCGTTAAGCCGTCATTATTGATTTTCTAATGTAGCTTATACATCATGAAGCCAAAATCCTTGAGAGTTTGTCTGAGTGAAAAATTCTTTGCTTATCTATGTGATCACTTTCAATTAAACTGCCAGCCTTCCTCTCTCTCACTGGTTCAAGCACTGACTGAAGACCACATGAATATTATGTCAATAGAGATGAGAAGCAGGTATAAATGTAAAAACTAATTGACTCTGAGGTAGCCGGCCAATCAGCCTCAGTGAGAAAGCTCCACCCTCAGCTCCTCCGGCTCTAGGAGATCATTTTTTCTAACTATGTAACTGAGCACACCGGTGAGTTGGATCAGAGTACAGCAGCTCAATATGATACTTGGCTTGTCATGGCTTCCCCCTCCTACCAAACAAAAGAACATGAAATTCCATGGCAGCAGGAAAGAATTGAATTTGCAATAAGGAACAACTTGACCAGAAGGGTGTTCAATCTTCTAGAATGGCTGAAAAGGTTGCAACATCTCCTTTCATTAAGATTTCTGAAAAGGGAATAGATACACAAAGAAATACACATTTGCTCCTTATGATGTTATCTTAGTTTTGTGTTTACCAGTTAAGTGTGTTGGACAGTGTTAGATTGATAATTGTTTTCGCATTTTGCTGGTATAGCCTGAAACTCTTTTTTATATCTTCTCCAATTTCTCATGACTGAAATATCTGTTTACATTACTGTTTTTGAATGTAAAAAATTGTACATGATACCAAGATAGCCAGTTGGACATCTAAAATATAATCAAATGGTTATTTTGCCATACTTATTGCCAAATATTAATTTTAAGTATTTTCTTTTGAAATTACCCTCTTCTTTGGAATCCAGCAATATACTTTTCCTCTTCAAATGATTTTCCATTATCACTATAGTTTGTTTTTTATGTTGCTCCTCTTTAAGAACTTCAAAATAATTAAAAATTAATCTCTTCCATGAATACGTGTCTATAATTATCCTTTTATTCCTCCAACGTGACTTTTTCATGATAATCAAAAATCTTAATTAATCAGGAAAGTTCACAAGCTCTCCTAGCTAATAAATTCTAAGATGAAATTCACTTTTGAATTTCAAGTTACCTACCCTTAAAAAACCAAGAGGAAAGACAATGAATTCAGAAAGTAAATCCTCAGATCCTTCAATGGTAATAGGAGAAATTCCAAGCACAGCACTAAACGTATGTTTAAAATTGTTAATGACAAGCATTCACTTGCCACGTTAGACCTTTATGCTAAATCATTCTCAATTTAAAAAGACATATTTTGGGTTACCAGTTCACAAGCAGAGCTCCTTGCATGGTAGAAAAGACATCAAGTAGAATCACGCAAGGAGCTGATGCTAGAATGAAGGTGAGAAAATAGGAATAAACAAAAGAGCAGGGGTATGATCATGTCATTTACAGATGGGAGACTGCAGCGAGCATGACCTCTCTGTTCCACCTTTATGGATTGAGAAATGATCTTTATCACTTTAAATAAGAGGTAGTGATGAACCTATCTGAAAGCTCCTGATCAAACGACCTTTTGCATGTAGAGCTCCTTTTGAAGACCTTTCCAGATCTAGTGCCTCCATAGGCTACAGATATAGTAATTTATTACATGATTATTTTTTAATTTTACTTAAAGACTCCAAAAACCATACTCTTAATTTAATAATATAGAAAATTAATAAATATTTGTTATACTCACCTGAACAAGCTTACCTGTGGCATAAAAGAAAATAAGTAATTCAATTCTTTTGCTTCAGATTTAGGAGACAGTTTCTATCATTTTTACCCTGATGTTACATAATATTACATCTCTCTCTCTCTCTCTCTCTCTCTCTCTCTCTCTGGTATTTTTCAAAATGAAACACCAGATAGAGCTCCACTTTATTTTTAAGTTGTGACTTCCTTTTCCTCTTGAGATTTTTCAGGCTGAATTTTGTTCCTTTAAAATAATCTTTGGCAAGTCACCAGATGACTACAAATGTATTTAATGCAACTTTGCTCCAATATTAACATTTTCACAAACCACAGTAGGCAGACCGTTACTGTTTCTTCATTATCCTTTCCAGTCGTGGCTGAGAGCCCAAATGATGGCACTTTACCCAAGAGGTATTCTGTATGTGTTTTCTACTTTAATCACATCCTTTCAGAACATGAATTTTTGCCTGACAGATTATCTTCCCCACAGGCAGGCAGTCACATCCAGACTTTGATGGGGTCCCAAAGCCTTCAGCATCGCAGCCGGGAGCAGCAGCCATATGAAGGAAATATAAACAAAGTGACCATCCAGCAATTTCAGTCACCATTGCCTATTCAGATCCCCTCTTCACAGGCCACCCGGGGACCTCAGCCTGGACGGTGCTTAATTCAAACTAAAGGGCAAAGGAGTATGGATGGATATCCAGAACAGGTGAGAAGAGATTTTTCATTATTGATAAATCTTCAGGAAAGTCCAAAGAATCCATGGTTTGCCTTCCCTCATTAATGTGATCCAGGACACAATGCTACTATCATGTTGAATGGGGTGGAGTACTCTTTGTAGAAATTGTACCATTATTTTCAATGGTTAAGGACTACAACATGTAGGAATTTGCAGTTGGTAAAATGCCCATTCCACGTAAGGAAAAACTGATGAATCAGAATAGTTTTTCAAGTATTATCCTACATCCTTTCTCACCCACTCCCAATGGCAATTTAGCTCTACAGTACAGCTTTTGAATGTTACAAAGCGCTTCAGTGGATTCGGTATATTTCCCAAGGCCTCTGGTGAAATTGGCAGTGTGAAAAGTAAACTGTATTATTCCCCTCCATTTGTGGGAAGACATTTTTTAAAAGTTCTATCTTCTGATTGTTGAATAGTACAGAGATAAATCTTTGCTCTAAAGAAAATTATAAACAGCTAGAAAGGAAATATTTCTGAAACGCTCCAAAAGTTACTGATAAAAGCCATGTAGCAAAAACACTACGGTTCTTCTACATATCTAAAATTAGGATTTGCTTTTCCATTGTAGAATCTGTTATTATTCTTCAGGACTAGAAAACTGAATGGGATCTCTTCTAATGAGCTATATTAAGCTTAGAAAGTAAGACATTAAAATCTTAATAATCTGTTAAAATTAATTTCTCTTATTTCAATTTTCAGATAATTAGGTAAAGCTCCCACTGACTTCACTAACTTTTTGATATCATCTGTAAAAGTTTCTCCTTATTATTGCCTACTCAAAGTTTTACATATCACCCCACCTTATTTTCTAAACACATAAAACAAGATTAACTTCATTCTCCAGTTTTTTTTCTTTACATTGTTAAGAGCCATTTATCATTTGTATCTGATTGTTTAAATATCTATTCCTTAATATCCTTCTTGAAGCTGAGATGATATATTAATCATTCTCAGAATCATAGATACTTTTTTCAAGATAATTTTCTTCTTTTTCTGTTCTGATCTAAACCAAGTGTTAGAATTAAGGTATAATAAACCAGACAGATGCTTTTAATTAGATAATGACATGAGGTTTTTAATTTTCCAGAGATTTAAAAAAGTTAATAAAGTTTTAAATTATGCTTTATCAGAACCATTTTAGGAGATTAAAAACTTTTTAATAGATATTACTTCCCCACAAATATCATAACCTCAACCCAGTTCTCTAATTTAGTTGTTCTTATTAATAGCTACATGGCTTTTTTTCTCCCAGAATCAATGCATTTTAAAAATTCGCTGAGATCAATGCCTTTCATTTTCACTGCTTTGAATAGTAGGTTTAGTGTTAGCATGCAGTTATTCTAAACACCCTAAATTTAAAGGCTATTTTAACACTGTTTCTTAAAAAATACATAAATTGTAGAAAGTTTAACTAACAAGAGGATTACTAAGTTTTAAAGTTTACATGCATATTGAGTTTAAAATATCATGATTATTTCAGAAAATGTATTTATAGTAGTTTTCAAGTGTTTTGATCCACAGCTCTGATAACATCAGGTGCCTTTCAAATTGATGTTAAAAAAATTTAAGCATTCAATGGCTATGGTAAGGAAAGGACATAAATATAACTCCTTTTGCTATGCCAGTTTTTTCTGCCTTGGTTTTAGGCTTAAATGATTTAGAATGCATTACACATTTCAAAATAGCTAGAAATGTGGACTTGAAATGATCCCAACACATAGAAATGTAAATGCCCATGATGATGGATATCCTAAATACCCTGACTTCATCTTGACGCATTCTATGCATGTAACAAAATATCACATATACTCCATAAATATGTACAAATATTAAGTATCAATTTAAAAAAGTTTAGGGTGACTATAAGAAAGCCTAAAGAGCCTTTAAACAAATAGTACTGATCCCAAAACTATGCTCTCCCACCCCCAATTATAAATCAAGAAGTTTCTTAAAATTTTTTTCACCATCAGTATAATATTCGTCCACTACTAGGGGCATACTGGAGCCAGCTCACACTGGCCCAGTATCATGTGCACTCTTCCCCACTCCACCTTCAGTGACATCACATTAACAGGTGGAAGTTACGGGAAAAATTACACCACGAAAATCAGCAAACACTACAAATTAGGGTATTCTCCCATCCCCAACTAGCTGTTAAACATTTTCCAACACACCTCTGACTACTACCATGTTTTCTTTCTTTTTCTTTTTCTAACCTCTCCACTTCTTCATTTACTTCTACAGCATTCAAGAAAGAAAAGCTTAGGACTAGATCTCGAAATTTGCGGTTCCAGTTTCATGTTTACGTTTATTAAGCTGTATGACCCTGGCCAAGTTAGTAACTCTTCCTAAGGTTCTGCTTGTCTCCTTATGAACTGAGGACACTGCCACTCACTAACATTCAAAAAGTTTTTATGAGAGTCAAATGATACAATTGTACACATACACCACACACACACACACACACACACACACAGAGTAAACCTGACACTGAGAATACAGAAATAGAAAATAGAAGAAATGGAAATAGAAGATTTTGAGACTTAAAATATTGAAAGAAACTTAATAATTATCAGTCTCAACCTTCTTAATCTACAGATGGAAAAACAAATCAAAAAATATAAAGAGATTAAAAAAGGTTATGTAGTTCACTCATCATGAAACTATTTCTTGTATTTTTTTACTTTCCTAAGTTATATTTATTTTGAAAAGTCAGATCCCTCTAATATGTGTGTGCGGTTGTGTGTTTTCAAGCAAGACTCTTATTCCAAATTTAATAAGAAAAAAGTGTAGAAAAATACTTAAAACAGAATTATAAGACTATATGGAGTTTTGCATGAAAATTATAGAGTAGTGATTTAAGAGTAAGGACCACAGAGGCAGCATAAAATTTCTGATGTGGATTTTGGGCATATAAATCAAAACATTCATTTAAACAAGACATTTCTAGTGGTCTTTAAAAGAGCCAAGAAGAGAAAAATAAAGTCTCACTTAAACGATCATAACAGCAATGTTAAATTTGGTCAAGTATAATATGGAAAAAAACCTAAATCATTCAACATTTTTAAGAGCAAGGAGATACCATAAACCATAAACATAGCACAAAGAAAGACTGCTCAGCAAGACTAAACACTAATTCTATTAAAGTAACTCTTGGAAACTACTTTAAAAAAAGTAATCACTTATTGTAATGCTACAGGTTTAAAAAATCTGATTAGAATGAATACACGTTTTTATTTAGGGAAAAGAAGTCTGAATGAAAATAGCAAAAGAAGAGACAATAGTTACCATACACTGAGGGCCTGCTGTGTGTTTTGAACTATACATCTGACACACAGGTCTGGCATTCAGGGGTGAGTAACCTGTACAGTTGCACCAGGTCCTGCTTAGAAGGGCCCCACCCTTGGATTAAGGCTCCATTGTCACCATTTTGTAATTCTTAATAATTGTTGATCGAGGAGCCTCATATTTTCACTTTGTACCAGGCCCAACTAATTATAGAACTAGTCCTGCTTACATACACTATTTCATTTAATCATCACAATAATCTTATTCCCTTTTTATTAATATAAATGAACACCCAAGGCACAGAGAAATAAGTAATTTATGGAAAGTATAATTGGTCAAGATGGAATTTTTACCCAGTTTATCTGACCCGAAACCCAAGTTCTGTGTCACAATCTGTTAAATTAACCACATGATCTCTGACACCTAGCTGCTGTGGTCTCAGTGTCCTCTTTTGTCAAATGATATTAATTAAACCTGCTTGAACAACAACTAAGAACTGCAGAACTGCCTCATGCAGATGGAGTGTTGATATGAACTCACATAAACACTCCAAATTGCTTTGAAAAGCCAAAGCTACTGAAGAAATGGGAACTTTTAATATTAACAAAAACATAACTCTGTATCCCTTAACGTGACCCAAAGAACTCACGTATTTTTAATCTGATTAAAGTTCCATATGGCAATGAACATATATAAATAAATGCTACCACTGATGACATTAAATGAATTAGAATGAATTATCATTTGTTACCTAAGCAGAATATTCAACTTTGTTTAGCCATAAAGAAGCACTTGGTAAACTTTGATGTTTCTTCTCAGTGATGAAGCCCTTTAAATTTTCAAACCGCTCATCACAATCAAACAGGGCAAAATATCCAAGACTTCTAGAAACTTAGAATTCTACTTTAATGCACTTATTTGTACATGTTTATTTTTCAGAAACAATGAATATCAAGTCTGTTTTCAACTCTAAGATTAAATAAAATAAAATATATGGACATGATTTTTAAACTATAAAGTGTTACCCAGATTCAAGATATTAATTTCTATAGACTATAAATCTTATTTCTAATAATAAATGTTCTTTTTAATGAAAAGTCTGCAGCAAAAACCATGTACATGTCACCTAAAGTTTATTATCGGGGCATTTTACTTGGAAAATGTATTCTAATGCATAAACCACTTAGATTACTGACAAAAATAATAGAGGATAAGAGTCATATTTGCATTAAGTAGTAAACTAAAGAAAACAGCCAGAAAGTGAAGGCTTGACTCCCATTCCACATGAAAAACTCTTAGCCACAATATCCGTCCTATTAGCTCTTCCTTTTCTTTCCCAGTCTAACTGAAGAAGCTTAACGATCCTATCCACCTTATCCTCCCCTTCAAAATATAGTAATACTTTATCTTAATTCTTCTCAACTTCAGCTGTAGACTCTGTTCAGGAGCTTTAAAAAACACTGGTGCCTTGCCCTCATCCCCAGATAAACTGATTTTATTAGTCTTTATGTGGCCTGGGAAGTGGGAATTTTCAAAACTCCCCAGGTGATGCTATTGTGTAGCCAAAGTTGAAAAACACTGCTTTAAATATTTTATAGCTCAATAACTTACCGGCTGAATAATATATTGATATTATCACTATTTAAAACCATACATAATCGATCATAACTTGTTGAATA